TTTACCTCATGACGTTTGGAAATTACTAGATAATCCCATTGTAGTTTGTGGAGTGAAATGCATCGTTAGGGCCGTTAACAATTTAATAAAATAGACTAAAATATCTCTGTATTTTCATCATTTGTTTAAAAGGAAAAATGCACTTTAACCCCTTGTGCTTATTCCATGTGCGATTTACCCCCTTAAAATTTAAAAATAATCATGTAACTCCCTTAATCTACTACGTGTTTTGCACTTATTGTTAAATTAAATGAAATATTTAATGGTGCATAATAATCCACAAACTATGCAGGAATTATGTGATCATTTTTAAACATCAAAAGATCAAATCGTACATGACTCAAACTACATGAATAAAATGAAATTTGCCCTTTATGATATTACAGACATTAAACACTGGAGTCATTTGTAATTTTTCCTATCATTTTTTATCTGAGCTTTTTTTTTTATATTTTTTTCTTCAGTTGGTGCTTAATGGATCAACTAATATATCAACCTCAATTAATGATGTACACGTGCAAAGTACATTGCTAATATCCACTTTGGCCTTCCACCTGGGGAGACAAAAAACAAGAAGAAAAAAAGGAGGATAAAAAAAAGGAGGAACAAATGGTCTTGTGTAGAATCAGAAATTTGGCTTAATAGGGAAATTACACTTTGCCCCCTTAAAATTTTACTCATTTCTTACTTTGGCCTTTTAGTTTGATTTTTTTTACTTTGGCTCTTCATGTTTGTAATCTTTCACACTTTGGCCCTTTAAGTTTAATTTTTCCCACTTTAACCTTTCATGTTTGCAATCCATCTTACTCTGACCCTTCATATTTGCAATCATTCTCACTTTATTCCTAAACTAACTTCAATCCAAAAAATTAATAGAATTTGCCAAATCATTAACACATCAGCTCCATCTGTGATGTAAAAAAATTCACTAAAGATGCAAAAAATACAAAACAAAAAAGAAAAAAATTGGAATTTTTTTTTCGTCTTTAGTGAACTTTTTTTTCAAATTTATTTATAAACATTATTACATTATAGTTATATCTAGATTAGACGCAGTTAAAAAAATAAAAACAAATTTAATTAAAAAAAGAAAAAAGTTTACTAAAGATAAAAAAAAATATATATACTGACTCAAATATCTGTATTGTCAATTCCGAAATGAAAAATTTACTATTTTTTTTTCTTCTTTAATGAACTTTTTTCTCTTTTTAGTTAAATTTTTTTTTTTATAATTTTTTTAGTTGCATCTAATCTAGATGCATCTATGAATAAATTTGCAAAAAAAAATTCACTAAAGACTAAAAAAAAATTTCAATTTTTTTGTTTTTTATTTTTTACATCTTTAGTGAATTTTTTACATCACATATAGACCTGATGTATTAGTGATATGACAAATTCTGTTACTTTTTTGGATGGTAATTTAGGAGTAAAGTGGAAAGGATTGCAAACATGAATGGTCAAAGTGGAAAAAATTAAACTTAAAGGGCCAAAGTGAAAAAATTGTAAATATGAAGGACCAAAGTGGGAAGGATTGTAAACATAAAAGGCTAAAATAAAAAAAAATCAAATTTAAAGGGTCAAAATGAGAAATGAGTGAAACTTTAGGGGCCAAAGTATAATTTATCCGATTAACTAATATATCAACCTCAATTAATGATGTACATGTGCAAAGTATAGCTAATATCCACTTTGGCCTTCCACGTGGGGAGACAAAAAAACATGAAGAAAAAAAAGGAGGATAAAAAAAGAAGAACAAATGGTCTTGTGTAAAATCAGAAATTTGGCGTAATGGGGAAAATTTTAACGATTCTAAAATCTAAAAGAGATTTATGATTTGAAGATGAGTAATATTAGAGATCATGAAAAAAATATCATGAAATGTATCATGAAAATTTTTTATCATTTGATTAGTGTTGATTAGTGTATGGTGTTTTATTGTGCGTACAATTCAAAGGTGAAGAATCTTTCATAATTATCTTCATGATATTTTTTTTCATGATCTCTAACATTACTCTTTAAAGATTTTAGCCTACAAACTTATCAATTTGATTCACAAATTTGTTTTAGATTTGGCTGAGATTAGCGATTTGAAAAGCTTTTGTGGAAAAATGGCAGCGAATTTTAGAGGTATGTTAAAGTGATTTTTTTTTTTACGAGATGAGATTAAATTGAGGTTTGTGCAATTTAAGTGTGAAACTGTGAATGGCGATGATGCACAGTGATGGGTTTGGATTTGGATTGATATAGCAGTATAGTGGTGGCATAAGTGGTAGTCGAGACGTTCGACGAAATGCTTCAACGAAACTACACATAAGAAAATCAACCATGCATTGAAGGTTTAGTTAATAATATAAGATGATATGTTCCGAGGTTGAATTCTGAACTAGGAATTCCAAATCAAGGGGTTGTTGTTGGGTAGACTTGAATGGTGCATTGGTTACATTAAAGGTTCCATGAATGGAGTCCTATTGGGAAATCAATCTGTGACTTGTGTCATCATTTTTATCAGACCAAAACCTATTTTCTGAACCAAGACTGGGAAATATTATTGATGAACCAAGACTGGGAACCTAGTTGCTGAACCAAGAAGAAGCCACATTCAGTTTAGTTTTTTTATTTTTTATTTGGGGCCCTAATCAAAACGATTTCGTTTTGCTAAAAATGATTTTCCAAAAATGACATCATTTTGCATTACTACAGAAAAGTACTCCAGGGGATCCAAGCGCCCTTAGTGGTTGAGTCGCGACTGTCACTACCCTGTGTGAGGATCCTCTAGAGTTTATTTTCTAGAGTGATCTCCTAGAGTGATCCATCTGAGGGTTGAGATTCTCTCTCACCAAAACGAGGTCGTTTTAGTGTGTAATTTGAAAAAATAAAAAATAAAAAAAAAAAATTCAAATTTCAAAACAGAGAGAAGGGCTAAGAGAAGGAGAGAAGAGGAGGACGTCGCCAGCATGACTCCGCCGTTGCTGCAGAGATCTGGAAGACCTTCTGTCAACGCCTTCGTCTTCGATCTCTTCCGCCGCCGTCGCCACTCCAACACCTTTGGTTCAATCGCATTGGCAAACCATAGATCCGTCGACGAATTGAACCCTAGTTGCACCGTCATCTTTGATCTCCTCCGCCGATCTCCACATCCATTGACTGGATCTGCTGATTCTGATGCTCATTTTAATTTTAATGATGATGGGTCCTATAAATCTATGGGGTCTGTAAATCTTCTCTCCCATTTGCTAAATAATAATTATGAAAAAGAAAGTCATATTATAATAAATCAAAATTGGAAGATCAGTTGATAGTTTACACATGATTTTTAAATTCATTTTATTTTTTTCTTTGAATCTTGTTCCCAATATATATATATATATATGTCTATATAGTTTGAAGCCTCTTTCTTTTTGTTTTATAACACAAACACCCACCTGTTTATTGATGTAAAATTATGGAGTTGATATGACCAATGTTTATGGTTTATTTCTTGTTATAAACCTTAAAACCAAATGCATAGTATATATCATGACCATGCTCTGTTTTTTTTTTCTTTTCTTTTCTTCAAACAGACACTCTGTTTGTTTTTCTTTTTTCCTGACCAAGCATTTTTTCAAATAGTTTTTTCCAATAGATTTCAGAGTTATCTTCCGGCGATGAATGGAGGCAGAGGGGTGGAGGAAATGATGGTTGGCCGGAGGAGGGTTAGGGAGCAATTGGCGACGGTCGGTAAGGGTGGGGGACCAGGTGGCCTCCACCTCTGAGGAGGGGGGGGGTTTGGCCATGGAATGTCTCTATCTTCTATCTTCTCTCTTCTCATTCTGTTCAAGTTTTTTATTTTTTATTTTATTTCCTCACCAAAACGACGTCGTTTGAATGAGAGATTGATCTCAACCCTTAATTCTATTAGTGGGACAGGTGTCACGCCCATCTCCTTTACTGTAGAAGATCACTCTAGAGGAATCACTCTAGAGGATCTTGACGCCACTACCCTAACTTCAGTGGGCCTTGGTCTAATGGGCAGGCCTATCCTTTGAAGTCATAAAAGGAAAATGAAATAAATAAATAAAATAATAATAATAATAATAATAATAATAAAGCTTATCCAAATTTGAAAATATAGGTGACCCTATCATATAACATGGGTTTTTTTTTTTTTTTAATATTCTGAAAAAAAAAAACAATTTAGAGAATTGACCTACTTTTTAAACTATTTAGGAAATTAACTTACTTTTGAAATCGTATTTCAAAAATGTAATTTTGAAATTAAAATTACATTTTGAACATGCGATTTCACTATGTCATCATAAAATGTATTTTCAACCTGCAATTTTAAGGTGAAATTACATGTTGAAAATGTAATTTCAATTTCAAAATTGCATTTTGAAAACAAGTTAATTTTCTAAATAGTTTGAAAAGTGAGTCATTTTTCTAATTTGTTTTTTTTTTTTTTCCTTCAGAATATTAAAAAAAAAAAACTCCATAGCATGACCCTGTCTACATTTATTAGATAGGTAGTTTGCAAAGGTCACCTCACTTGCCCTACTCATCCCATAACATGAACCCAACCTTCACAGTCAAGGAGATCACATAATAGATACACCATCTAGTAGCCTTAGAAAGTTTGTTAACTGTTCAGTTCAAACTACTACCCCAACCAGTCTTACACTTTGATTTGAAATTACAACGACGTGTTTGATTGACTTGAAGTTGAATTGTTTGATGGACCAACCTTTACTTTACCTAACATTTTGTCAACAAAAGTTTCTCCACGTGACCAAATATTTCATGTCCCCCTTCAATTATGTGGGTGTTTAGGAAGTTGTTATTTTAATAGATTATTTTAGTTTTTGACTATTTTAGTATTAAAATTTTTGTGTTTGGGAAGATGATATGATTTTTTATAGCTTGATGTGATGTTTGTGAAAAAAAAAAAAGTAAAATGATTATGAATTTGGTATGACATTTTGTCTTATTAAGTGTTTTAGTCTATTTGTCCTAAAATTTTTGTCGCCAAACACCCCCATATATAGTATTTCACCCCAACATACAAAAGCCAAAGTGTCTGTTTTGGCTTTCTAGTGTAATATTTTGAGAACCAAGCTATGGCACCACAAGCAAAAGTTGAGCATCAACAACGTCTAATAAAGATGAGTTTGTGCATATTTCTTGTGTTGGCTCTCTCTAGTGTAGCTGCCTCTCAGTCACTTGTCAAGTACTTGCCAGGTTTTGATGGAGAGCTGCCCTTCAACCTTGAAACCGGGTGAGAACTGAGAATTTTCTCGGTTTGTTTTTTTTGAAAGTATGAGAAGTTTGATGGGTTTTTGTGTGTAGATACATCGGCATAGGGGACACGGATGATGTGCAGCTATTTTATTATTTCATTGAGTCGGAGAGAGACCCAGTGACTGATCCTCTTGTCCTGTGGCTCACCGGTGGCCCTGGCTGTTCGGGTTTCTCTGCACTTGTTTACGAAATCGGTATTCTCTCATTATCCTCACTTTCCATAGACATTATTAAATACAATTCAGTGTTCGTCGCAATATTTAACAAATGCCTAGCTACATTTGTATTTGACGCCTACAATATATCAATGTATATTCCATAATATTGAGTCAAGGTTTTTGGTAGGAAGTGAGATTTGACTTTATATATATCTGGTCATTTATGTGTTTACCATTTCTATTTCTACTTGTGCACTGTTAGGTACTTTTTCAAAAGGGACAACATTTGAAAACACCAACTAGAACACCACAACAGTACAGCAAATTAAATTTAGAACAGTAATTCTACAAACAGGTCCACCTAAATACTAATCCACCCGTACAATTACTCATGGTACTCTCAATAATTACTCCACTTACACACCTAAATAAAACCAGTCTCACACTAGGAGTGTATGTAAAGCCAAGAATCATCTATGCCCAAATGTCTTTGTCCCTTTGTCTTAAAATGTCTACAACCATTGGATGATATGAAAATCAAGGTACGGAAATCTTGAGACATATCCAATGGCTGTAGATATTTTAGAGTAAGCGGATATGCACATTTGAAAACAAAAGATCTTTTGCCGTGTACTTTCTCAACTTAGAATGATTGTTCAAAAATTTTCAATAGGTTGCATTCTTTCCCAAACTCAAGCAATAATGATTTGGTAAGTAAATTTTGGATATGAGATTCTACCCTCACACATGCTCTTAACACTTCAAAGGGTCCCAAGTCCATTCTCATCCCTATTGATGTAAATACATTCCACCTTTTTTTTTTTTTTTTTTTTTCCTTTCTCTCTCTTTTCTGTAGGTCCATTGTTGTTTGATGTTGAGTCATGGACTGGCCAATTACCATCTCTTAGAGTAAACAAATACTCGTGGACAAAGGTGCAACATTTTAACCTTACCCTAATTGCTTTTTTTTTTTTTTTTTTTAAGTAAAACTTATTTTAAAAAATTATGATAATCTTAATTAATTAATCTCAGTGATATTTCAGGTTGCCAACATAATCTTTATAGACCAACCTGTGGGAACTGGATTTTCCTATGCCAGAACATCAGCTGGTTACAATACTTCTGACACAAAGTCCGTGGCACAAATCTATAGTTTTCTCAGAAAGGTAAAAAATTTTTTTCCCTGATTTAATTGATTAGATATTTTAACAGTGATATATTTCAGGTTGCCAACATAATCTTTATAGACCAACCTGTGGGAACTGGATTTTCCTATGCCAGAACATCAGCTGGTTACAATACTTCCGACACAAAGTCCGTGGCACAAGTCTATAGTTTTCTCAGAAAGGTAAAAAAAAAATTTCCCTTATTTAATTGATTAGATATTTTAACAGTGATAATTCCCTGAATTACTATGCGCAAAATTGAAAACTGGTAATTTGGAGAATGTTTTGTGAAATCAGTATTTTGATTTTTTGTGTCGTGACACAGTGGTTGGTGTACCATCCACAATTCCAAACAAATCCTCTCTACATTGGTGGGGATACGTATTCAGGAATTACTGTTCCGCTCCTCGTCCAAACAATATTAGATGGTATTCCTTTTGATGAGAATTAATTAGTTTATGCTTTGATTGTTTACAGTTTAGAAAACAATTTTGATTAATTAAGTTTTGGTTGGATTGGAATTGCAGGTCTTGATGAAGGGCTTGAGCCACTCATGGGACTCCAAGTATGTAACATAATTAGAAATGGAATTTTTATAGTTAGTTTGTTCTTCAAATTCCAATTTTATTGGTGATTTTTCCTTCCCATGGTTGCTAAGAATCCAGAAATAAAATAAGAAAAGAAAAGAAAAGAAAATTTGAGTTCTTACCAATATACAAGGTTGGGACAGGACTGTGTATTTGTGTTTTGAAAATTATGGTTCAGTGGTCTCTCTAAATTGTTTACAGGGATATTTGTTGGGAAACCCAGTGACAGATTCTTACATCGATGATAATTCAAGGATCCCATATGTTCACCGGGTGAATCTGATATCAGATGAGCTTTACGAGGTGATAATATTATTGATTTTATCTAATAGTCATAATAGTTCGAACAAATCTGTCCCAAAGTCCTAATATTTTATTTTTTCATTTATTTATTTTTGCAGGATGCAAAATTATATTGCCACGGTGACTATGTTAATGTACAATTCAACAATAGTTTATGTGTAACGGCTCTTCTGGCAATCAAACATGTAAGAACGATTATCATTTTTGCTTATATGTTCGAGGAACTTTGAGAAAACTCAGTTGCACATAAATTTTTCACAGAAGATTTCTGTGCTTAATGTTTGTCAGTTATGTTCTCTTCTGTGATTCATTTCTGTGAAATTTTTTTGTGCAACTAGCACAGCTGACAAACTTTCCATCTTTAAGAGCGCTAAGAATGAGTCTGAATTTGCAGTGTCTGCTGCAAATAAACCTAGTTCAAATTTTAGAACCTCAATGCGCTTTTTCATCGCCTAGAAGAATGGAAATCGAATGGGATTTGAGAGTTCGAGAAGCCGAAACCATAGAATATCTCGATTCACTAAATAAACTTCCTGAGCTAACTTGCAGGGTAAATCTCTAGTCTCTCTAAATCTCTCAACACACAACTTTGAATATGGTTATTGTTTAGTAATTTCATTTTTCTATCCGGGAATAAGCATAACTCTACTATTCTCATTTTCCAGAGTTTTAGTTACATGCTATCCGACAAGTGGGCAAATGATAAAGCTGTCCAAAAGGCTCTTAACGTCCGAGAGGTGTGCGTATTCCGTATTTATTTCTCTTAATTTATTTAGATATAAATCACTGACTAGGATACATATTTGTGACATCCAATCAGGGAACAATGAATTATACTAGTTGGATGAGGTGTGCAAAAACCTTACCATTCTATACAGAAGATGTCTCAAGTACCATTGATTATCATAAAAATTTCACAAAGACCGGTCTTCGAGCTCTTGTATACAGGTACTCCTTTCCTTGGTTGTTACAATTCCATCACATTTTTCTACTGAAAGGACTAATTAATAAAGAACAAATAGTGAAATTTATCAGGAAAAAAAATCATCTCAAAATTCATCAGATTCTCATTCTGATTTGTGTTTAAATTGAACAATGAAGTGTCTCAATTACCATATATTCTTATTGACCAAGTTCACAATTTTCACAGTGGTGACCATGACGTTACTGTTCCATATATTGGCACGCTGGAGTGGATAAATTCACTCGGAGTTCCTATTTTTGATCAATGGCGACCGTGGTTTGTTGATGGCCAAATTGCAGGGTATGTTTCATATTATGCCATTTTTTTTTCCTATAATTTTTATTTATTTTTTATTTTTCCAAATTTCACACTAAATTTTTTAACTAAGCAATGGTTATGCTGCCATTTGAATGCAGATATACGCAGAAATATATGAATGATAACTATCGCTTGGCATACGCAACTTTAAAGGCACGTTCAAACTACTCTATTTATTAACTTATTTATTTTATTTTATTTTATGATTTTCACAAATTAATCAAAATTTAAGTCAAACTTATGCTCTATTTTATTTATTTATTTTTATAACAGGGAGCAGGATACACAGCTCCAGAATATAAACGCAAGGAAGCCCTCAACTTGGTGGATAGGTGGTTCGCTTATTATCCAATCTAATTGAGGGGTTGTGGATTGAAATATAATCCATATGTGGATGTTCAAAATAATTGAAAATTTGAAGTACTTATTGATATAATTCCAAATTCAAAGTAATTAATGAACATCTCGATTGTTGTATTTTGTAGCATTTTGTGTGAATGTTTAGAATAAGATGAGTTTTTTCTGCACCGACTGATGTAATTGCTATGACATTTTATTTCTGAAAACAAAAATACTAGAGATCATAAAATTTTTATCTAAAATTTTATCAAATGTCTCACATGGTGTGAGACTCACATTGTATGAGTCTCACACTCATGTAAGACATTTGATAGAAATTTTAGTAAATTTTTTGAGATCTCTAACTCTTTTGAAAATGATATAATCACTCATACCGATATCAAAATTTTGGATAGAGCACTCTGATATGGACCAACATCGCCAATGCAGTGTTGCATTGATCGAGTTTGTGAGTCCCACCAAGTGGGTATAATGGGCTAATAGCCCAAGCCTAGAAAAAAGTTAGGCTTTATGGATTCGGATCCTCTCCGTAGTACATTTTATAATCCAGCGTCAATCTTGAATTTTCAACCTTGGGTATATTTTTGGTTTAAGAAGTCCAATAAATAAGTTATCCAATAATACTATTTACTTCAAAAGAAGTATTCAGAGAAATTATCAGAATTTAAAACTAGTATGATATGGATTACACTCAAAATAAATTTCATTCATGTGTTTTAAATTTTGCATATTTTTTTTGTATGTAGGCACTCTATTTTTAGGTAGGTAATATTAAGAAAATTTTATAATAAACACTCTAAGAAATTCGGAGAGTTTGGAATGAAAAGTGAACTTTGTTTTTGAGACAGTGACAACGCAATTAGATGTGTGGTTTAATTGAACCTTCGAACTTGTATGGCAATGGCGGCAAATGGTGATGAGATGAATGAGGGTTAGTTTTGAAACATAGATTTGTTGAGTCAATCATTGTCGACAACAAATATTGATAATTTATGTACTATTTGTTGTGTTGTTTGTTTTTTCCTCAATATATAACTCTTTGTTAAGTTGATTGTTGGGTTTCTATAATTTTAAATATCATTCTCTTCCTATTTGTAAAATATCTCTTATTGATAGACAAAAATAAAATAATTGAATTTTAGTCTTGGATAAAAGAAGAATGTATATTTTTCATATATTTTGTACTTTTCTAATTTATTAGGTAACTAAAAAATGTAAAATTAAATTAATATTTTATAAATAGGTGGATTGGACCAAATCAGACCAGGTGAGAATTTCTCATTCCAATTCTATTGGAAAGTGAACGGATTCAAAATCTTAACCCAACTCAATTTTTTTGGGCAAAATACTTATAATTATCTAAAACATTAAAAATATAAGTTGGTTGATGGGGCACCACCAATGGCCACCTCTAGTTTTAGGTGATGATAGGAAGGACAAGCTGTTAGAGAAAATAATAGAAAGAGACAAAGGAGTTATGTGAGTTTGTAGCATGAGAGGGTAATTTTTGTGAAAATTGGGCTGAGCCGGGAGATGTCATTATGGCCCACAATACGAAGGGCTGAGTAAAAAGATCGTAAAGTTACTCCGGCCCAAGAGAAGTACAAAATTACTCCGGCCAAAGAGGAATGTAATGTTACTCCGGTCCGGAAGCAACTTGGAGTTAGGCCGGTCTCAAAGTTAGTCCGGTCAAGCGTATTGAGGTTAGAACGGTCAGAACCTTGCTACTCGGTAGCTCGGTCTAAACACACCATGGTTCGTACATGAGAGAACCGAGATAAGGTGTAGCAAAAGGAAGAACCGAACTAAGTATAGTTCGGCCTACTCTGTGGCTCAACATAGCCATGATTACTTCGGTCATGTTGGAGTTCGGCCATGGTAAAAACCATCTCACTTGGTTTAAGCAGTGAGGGGGGTGTTGAAGGATAAGCATTATCTTTCAGGAGTATGAATCCTAGGAGGACTGTGCATGGAGGAGTAGAAGTCCTACTAGGATTGTGTCACACGAAACCTATAAAAGCTCACAAACATCACCTTTGGAGAGGTAACACACAATTTTGCTTTTTGAATACACAGAGTTTTGTCTATTTGTCAAGCTTGCTGACTTAGGCATCGGAGAGGTTTTCGGTACACACCCACCGGCTAGCTCACGTTTGTGTTTTCAGGTGATAAAGCGATGACGTACGGAGGAGAGCAGACTTGGTCAACAGGATTATACGAGAAGGTTTATTTCTTTCCCGTACAATTGGCGCCGTCTGTGGGAAGAACAGACAACAAAACCTCTTGATTAAGCTTCTCCTCTTTAGAAACAATGGCGCACAATGAAGATTTACCACAGTCCGCCACACAGTCCGCCATCGACGGGTAAACACCAGATGAGGGTGCAAGGCGTGAAGGATTACCTTCTATCCCTCCCATGGCAGACTTGGAGCCCCAACGACATAACTCCAGGAGAGATACTCGGGGGAGGCGGAATCACAGCCCCCATCACTCTCATTCACAAAGTCCTGACAGACAAAGGCGGAGAATTGATCCTCAAGTTCTGGAGGACCGCGTGAAGGAGCGAGACGAATTAATAAGGAAGATGGCGGCGGACATGGAGGCCTTGAAGCACCAGATGAGGAAAAAAGAAGTGGCGACAGGAGAGGGGCGCAAAAACAAGACGCTCCTTCGCCACTCAGAAAATCGTAGTAGGAATACCACACCCTCGCAAGGAGAGAGCAGAAGCCTCAGGACAGGCGATACTCAATCCAGGTCTTCCAGAACTCGTCACTCCAGGTCTGAGAGGACGAGATCTGAAAGATCATACACTGAAGGAAACACGTATTGGCCCTCACATACGCACCAAACCAGATCTAGACAGACGGAATTACCCAGATCATCCGACTTACGAACCGTGCTCGAAGAAAAGGCACGATGCAAGGAGGATGCCAGGGCACGGGATCCACATAGAGTTTCTGCTTTACAGCGGTTGGCTCCTCGGACGCATGGAAGCGTCGAGGTTGGAATGCCAATACCGCGCTTGCCTACGAACCAACAGACAAAGCATTAGCAAGGCTGCAAACTTCGCCATTTGTTCCGGCGATTGAAAACGGCCCCTACCATCAGGCTTCCTTCAGCCCAAATTCACTACATATGAAGGAAAGACGGATCCCTACTCACACTTGAGCCACTTTCGCCAGGTCATGGCTGTATACAGGCGAAATGAGCCTTAATGTGCATACTCTTCCCATCTAGCCTTGGCGACCTAGGCTTGACTTGGTTCGAGAAACTTCCAGAGGGCAGCATAGTCTTTTGGCGCAATTGGCAGAGGCATTCGTAACAAGGTTCCGAACAAACACTAAAACCCGGTGGAAATTGACCAGCTACTCTCCATCGACATGGGTGATAAAGAGACTCTTAGATCCTACAATAGTGCTACTGGGAGACATTCAATCAGATTGGGGACTGCCCCACCAATCTCGCCATTGCACAGTATAAAAGAGGCCTTCCAGTCGGGAACAGACTAAGGGACTCGATCACCATGACGCCACCCCTCACCATGGAGCCCTGATGGAAAGAGTGCATCAGCACATCAGGGTAGAAGAGGATGGCGCACGCGCCAAAGCAAAATCTGGGGCGACCCAGTACCAGAAAAGAAGACCTCAGCAAAGGTTAATACAGTAGATCGACCGAACAGAAACGGACGTGGCAGATGAGATAACGGAGAAGCCCGGATAAAAAATGGTTGAGAATCCGCACTGCCATAACCACGGTGTTCAAAAAACCGATATATCGGATTCTGAGCGAAATAAGAGATGAGCCTTTCGTCAAGTGGCCAGCCAAGTTGGGAGAAGCACAGAAAGACTACGACGAAAGATCGCGGTGCACCTTCCATAAAGAAAAGGGGCACCGCACTGAGAATTGCACACCATTGAGACAACACCTGGAGGAATTGGTGGCGGTAGGTCACTTGGATAAATACATTGAAGGAGGGATGCAGCCAGCCCCCCAAGACCATAATAACCCCAATGGGATGCCAATAGACGCCTCGCCTCAAGGCATTATCAATGTGACACATGGAGTTTTTGAACCTGAGCGTGTATGCGAGCTCAGGGGATCAATCAAAAAGGCTGAGCACTTTAGAGAGGTGCTAAGTGCCCAACCTGCCATCAAGAAGGGGAAGGCAGAGGCAGCAAACGTCATGTCTTTTTCGGATAAAGACTTGGAACGAATATACTGCCCTCACAATGATGCCCTGGTCGTCACTTTTCGAGTCAAGGATTTTGACGTCAAGCGGATTCTGATTGACCAGGGTAGTTCATGTGAAATCATGTACTACGAAACATTTAAACAATTGAAGCTACAAGACAAAGACTTGGCGCCTGCCGTATCTCCCCTAATTGGATTCAACTCCATGCCAGAATGGCCCGTCGGTAAAATAATTCTTCCAGTCAGAGCAGGAAGCGTGACGAAACAAGTGGAGTTCTGGGTATTGAAGGTCCCCTCCACTTACAACATCATCTTGGGCAGAACATGGCTGCATGCCATGCGATCAGTGGCGTCATCCTACCACCAAGTAATGCGGTTCCCCAATGATACCGGGGTAATTGAAGAAGTCTATGGAGATCAGATCATGTCAAAACAATGCTTCGTCACGGTGAACGGCAGTCGCGCTGCCAAAGGATACGCTCATTCGGTGGAAGAACCTGAGAGCAATGAGCTATTCGCAGATGTCGGCAAAGCGGCTGATCAAAAAGCAGTGGAGGACTTGGTAGAGGTAAGAATAGATGAAAAGAACCCGGATAAGTTCTTTTTGCTCGGTTCGTCGTTGTCCAGTACTGAGAGATTAGAGGTCTTAAAATTCTTAACCTCCAACATCGAAGTGTTTGCCTGGACACCCTACGACATGCCAGGCATTGATCCAAACTTCATCAGTCACCAACTTAATGTCCACCCATCTGCCAGACCAATCATCCAACGAACACGCAGATCGGCACTCCACCATGCTGAGATAGTGGCGGAAGAAGTAGGTAACCTGCTGGAGGCAGGAGCAATTAGAGAAGTACACTACCCAAGATGGATCTCCAACACAGTTGTAGTGCCAAAAAAGAATGGCAAGTGGCATGTCTGCGTCGACTATAAAACAGTCAACAAGGCATGCCTAAAAGACAGCTTTCCTCTACCA